TTAAGACATACTTCTTAGGAGTTACCTGATAGAATGGTTGACCCATTGTATTTTTTTTTTTTCATGTCAATATACAGAAAACCTAACCTGCAACATTTTACCACAACTTCAAAATGCCAGAGAGTATAAAATATGACTTGGCCAGTATGGGGTTAAGTGTCTATTCTCTGTCCAGTCATCTATGGCTAAGAGGAGTGGGGGAGTCAGTCACATGATATAAACGAATCTAGCAGCAAAGGGCCTTAAAAAGGAAAATTGTGCAATGAGGCAAATTCAAAAAATAAAATAAAATAAAGTACCTACTATAGTTGAAATCTTACAAATTTTTTTATCAGTTTAAGTGAGCCATTTAGGACGGGCCAGTTTGCTCAGTGGGTTAGAACATGGTGCTGATAACACCAAGGTATGGAGTTTGATCCCTATACTAGCTGACCACCATAAATAAATAAATAAATAATAAATAAATAAATAAATAAACCATGTATATTTTTATGTTACGTAGATACTCAACTTTGGTCAGTTTTCATTTCAAAAAATTATTTTAATTGGATTAAGGACAAACAAATGTAGCTTTTTTGTTTCAGACTCTCATCTTGTTCTGTCTTTTAAGCCAGCATGTCAACTTTTCAGAATACCACATTCTCTCCCATCACTTTCCTGCTAACCGGTATCCCTGGGCTGGAAGCCTTCCATGCCTGGATCTCCATTCCCTTCTGCTTTCTGTATGTCACTGCCCTCTCAGGAAACAGCCTGATTCTCTTCATCATCATCACGCAGCCCAGCCTCCATGAACCCATGTACTATTTCCTCTCCATGCTGTCCACCTCTGACCTCGGCCTGTCCATCTCTACTGTCGTCACCATGCTGGGTATATTCTGGTTCAATGCCAGGGAGATCAGCTTTAATGCCTGCTTGTCACAGATGTTCTTTATTAAATTCTTCACTGTCATGGAATCCTCAGTGCTGTTGGCCATGGCTTTTGACCGTTTTGTGGCTATCTCTAATCCCCTTAGGTATACCACCATTTTAACTGACTCCAGAATAGCACAAATTGGAGGGGCAATTATCATCAGGGGGACCTTAATGCTGACACCAATGGTAGCACTTCTTAAAAGACTTTCCTACTGCCACAGCCACGTGCTCCACCACTCCTACTGCTACCACCCTGATGTGATGAAGCTCTCGTGCACAGACACCAGGATCAACAGTGCAGTTGGGTTGACTGCCATGATCTCTACTGTTGGGGTGGACTCAGTCTTCATCATCTTTTCTTACATCTTGATCATTAAGACTGTTATCAGCATTGCTTCCCCAGAAGAGAGGAAGAAAGCCTTCAGCACATGTATCTCCCATATCATAGCTGTTGCCATATTCTATATTCCTTTGATCAGTCTGTCTTTTGTTCACAGATTTGGGAAACGAGCCCCAGCCTATGTACATACTATGATTGCTAACACCTACCTGCTGATCCCTCCCGTGATGAACCCCATCATCTACAGTGTGAAAACCAAACAAATACGTAGAGTTATGCTAAAAATTCTTCGTTCCAAGGAAACAGAATTTTAGAGCTAGACAGACTCTTCAAGAAGGTCTATTTCAGGTCATATTATCACTTAAAAACAACAAACAGCCAAAAAACTGGCACTTGTTGAGGCTAAATATACAATCATTTAAAGTAAAAGCTGGGATGTATCTAGAACATCAGCTAGTTTGACCCCATTGTTTTACAGATACACAGCAAGGGGAGGGATAAACAGCCTACAGCTATAAGTCTAAAATTTCTCCTCCTCACCACATTTCATTTCAAACTGTCCTTGACTTCTGTCCCTGCTAACAACCTTTCTATTCTGACCTTTTCCACTTCACGACGGTTAAAATGATACATTATTGAAAATTCACTCCTTTGTGAGAAATAGGTAGCATTTCTAACAATAATAATATTTCAACTAACATTTATTATTTCCCTTGACTGGTCATAGTTCTAAAGGTTTTCAACATGTATTAACTTTTTATATCCAAATCAACATTAAAAAAATAAGGGGCATAAAGAATAAGCATGATTTTTAACAATGAATATACTGATAAAATTTTAAAAACCACAACTCTGTGCTCTAGAAATTTTCAACTAAATTAGAAAGGAAAAGCTCAAATAAAAATCTTCAAACCTCACAAATGTATTTCTACATGATGACCTTTCCTGACTCAAGCATATTCCAGAATTTCTCTCAGCCTTTCATCAATTTTCTGCCCCAGCAGAAACTGAAAATGACCATGAATTGCAAATTATTATAATTTGTGTCATTTACTTACATTATTTTTTAAATTTGTGCCACGTGTGTCACATAGTGGCTTAATCCAGAAAGTTAATTATTTTCATCCTGGGTATATTGATTAATTCTCAGATTTTTAAAGCACGCATTTCAATGACACATTCATATCATTCAGTTAAGATGGGCCCTACGGCTGCTATCAGGTCCAGAGAAGTAGAATCGTCATTCAAGTCTACAGGAAATCTATTGACTACAGGACTGGCTATTTAATACAAAGAATGGTGTCAAAATCTCCAGCATGTTTGACAACACTATTTTCAGTATCAATTATTGTTAGTTTTCATCTTGATATTATGGAATGTCCCAGAACTTTGTTCTCAGATCTTTTTTCTTTGTCAGACCCCCACCTTTGGTCATCTCATTTAGCATCATGGCTTTGGATACCATCTATTTGCTGACAAATCCCAGATTAATATTTAGAGTCCAGATTTATCCAACTGCCTCTGTATCAGTATCTCTACTTGAATGTCTCATAGTCATTAGACTCAACATGTTCCAATTCATATTCTACTATTCCTATCATGGGAAAAAACATGTTCACCTATGGTCTTCCCTAACTCATTAACTCTGCCTTTCAAGTTGCTGAGACAAAACACTTGGAGTTATCCCTGGTACCTCTCTGTCACACTTGTGCTGTATCCAACCTGTTGGCAAATCCCGATGACTCTTACTTCTAGATATCCCAAATAATAATATCTAGAATCCAGCTATTTTACGCCACCTTTACTGCTACCACCATGAAGCAAGCCATTATCTGGGACCCCAAATATTATAATAGCCTCCTGAGGGGCCTTCCTTTATCCACGTTTGCTTTACAGTTTGTTTTCTCCAACAGCAGTGACAGTGATACACAGGCAGGTCATGTCCCTTCCTCTGTTCAACATTCTAATGGCCTCCTGTCTTACCCAGTGTAATGCATAGCCAGTGTCATAGCTTATAGGGATCTATATGATCTGACTTCCCTCCACCATCCCAACTTCACCTCCTAGTACTCTCCCCTTGATTCACTCTGCTACGTACACACTAGCCTCCAAATATGTCCCTAAACTCACTCAGCATGCCCCTGCTTCAGGCTTCACACTTGCTGTTCTCCCTACACTCTCCTGCCAGAGACCCACATGGCTAACCCCTCACTTCATGCCACCTCTGCTCATAAAAATTTGATGTCATAAAAATAATAATAGCACCACCTCTGCCTCAATTTTTGCCTGTATTAATTGTCATTCTTACCTGCCTTGTTTTTAATTTGTAGTAGTTTCATCCACCCCCCCCCAACATATTGCATATATGTTTACTTTTATTCTGGTTTCCCCATCACAAGATAAGGTTGTTGAGGACACAGAATTTGTTTAATCAGTGCTGTCTCCAGGGCCTGTCACATAGTACAAATAATAAAATGTCTGAATGGCCAGGCTCTATCCACCTCTCAAGCTTTATTGCTTCCCCTCTGTAAAATGTTGCAGGCACAGCAAACAACTTGCGTTTCCTTAATCCTGAGAAAATGTGCCCTCTGTCACTTTCAAGCCTTTGCACCAGCTGTTCCCTCCACTATAGCACTGTCACCGTCTCTCTTCCCGTGACTTGGCATAGAAGTGACTCCTTCAGAGACTTTTCCTGACCTCACCAGTCTGTCTGGAGCCCTTTCCAGGTGCTGCTGCCACACCCTGTAATTCTTTCTCTTACCAAGCTTTTTCAAACTCTATTGTAGTGGTTCTCCCTACAACCGACTCTGAACTCACTTCTCAGGACCAGGGACTGTGTCTTATTCGCTGTTGTTTCCACATTTCTACCTATAGTGTCTTGCCTGTAGTAGCTTTTAATCTTGGTTGAATTAATGAATAAATAAACAGGGTCTTAAAAGACGCAAAAGGGTTTGGATGGCACACAAGAAGATGACAAAGTTCCCTGATGTCAGAAAGTTCTCGGTATCTACAGATATATTTTTGTGAAGCTACACATTCTGGAGGATACTGTGCCAGGTGCTGCTATTTGGAGTGAAAATTTCAATCTGATTCGTTTGGCCTAGTGTAACCTTATCCTAATCTTGTGCAGCCTTACTTCTGCCTCTTTCCAACATAAAACGTGCCTTGTCTAGTCACTAATGAACGTAAGTAAAAACAAAAAAGCTAGGAGGCCATATTAAAGAGGCAACTTGCATTTTACATAAACTGCCTGTTGATTTCTGTGTATTTGTATTTCCTTCTATTCCCTCACCTGTACCCAATGGATCATCCCCCTTGCACATCCCTGAGTCACAGTAAAACAAAAACAAAAATCCCAAGAAGTCACAGGCCCAAGATGAGAAGACAGAAAAAACTTCAATGACATGGGCTGACAGACTAGATTTGTGTTTATTTATTTGTTTCCACACACTACACAGGAGGGGGTCTGAATAAAGGGAGGAGAGAAAGAGAAAGAGCAATGAGGGCTGGAAAAGAAGGATGGAGGTACCCAGAGTTCTAAAACTGGGAATGAGAAGGATCTTTATTCTCAAGAATCAGGCAACAAAGATGTTCACACCACTTCTACAGGTTTTTCTCCCCCACCTCACCCCACACACTAAACCGTGGACAGCCCTACTATCCAACAATCCTGGAAACCTGCAAGCTTCCCTCACTAGGAAGTGGGTAATTTGGACATACTGAGAATGGCTGAGTTGCAGGTCAAATGTCATGCTCTGACTAAGGTGGCCAAGCTCACAATGAATCAGGAATTTTCCTGAAAGCCAGAGCTGTAGCGGTCACATGGCCACTGTTATAGTTATTTGAACATCGTGGCGGTGAAGCCAGAAATCAGAGGAAACATTCAAGAGACTTTTAGAAAAAAAAATAGTTAATATGGTCTGAAAAACTGCATGTGAGGGATGAGGAAAAGTTATAAATCTTAAGTTTCCGTCTTGCTTAGCTGAATTCATAAGCACATCTAGTCTTATATAACCTACTCAAATTCACGCTCCCAACAGCTTATCAAATAGCAATCTAAAACACATGTTTGGTTTTGATGTTCCTGCTAAAAGCCATTTATTTTCTCTTCCCAACTCCAACAGGATGAAGTCCTTGAATTCCCAGCCTATCATCAGCTCACATCCATTTACCTCTCCAATTTCTCTCTTTCTGTTTTGTGTTGTCTCTATGCTCCAGCCACACTGCACTGCTAATAGTTTCCATGAAGAGAATTTTGTTTCTTTCCTCCGTGATTTTCTCTCTAATGAAATACCCTCTTTTTGGACCCATTGCCTTACTAAATAAATTCCCAGTCTCAAGTTATAAAATTCTGTGGTAGTCACCACTCTTCCATATTATTTCAAGATTGTTGTGTGGGTGTCTGTGAGCACCTTGAGGACAAGGATTTGATCCCTTTTTCACCTCTGTAACCCCTAAGCTCAGCAGAATGTCCACACAAAACTAGTATCAATGATGTGCTTATTGCACAATGAGTGAGTGAATGAACTCCATTGCCAGATACAGGTGACTAATACACAGTTGGTGGCTGATTGACAAGGAAGCAATTCTGTTTCTGTTTTTAGAAACTGCAGTGACAGTGACAAAGTAAGACTCATGTGTGAGGCCTACATAGAAAAATGGCAAACATGGGAGGATGAAGTGCTGAATCGAGTCGAAAGACAGCCCTGGTGGGTAGGATGCAGAGCACAAGTCACTGGAAGAGAAAGATCAGAGGGTCTAGAGGAACTGGGAATACTTCCTGGAGAAAGTGGCACTTAAGCTAGGTCTTAACAGCTTGAAGCAAGAAGTCATGGAAAAGGAAACATGAAAGAAAGACAAGAAAGGGTAATGACACAGGTGCAAACAAGCCTCTGGGCAAGCAAGAGACGACCAGCCAGTCTGATAGGATTCAGAGTCCTTGACGGTCCATCAGATCATACCCCTCTTCTGTTTAAAACTCCCCATTAGATCCTCAGCTCACTAGGAGTCTACGTGAAAAGTCCTCAAATGTCCCATAAGTCCTTTAAGGTCTTAATATGACACAGTTCCCTGTTACCTCTCTGATTCTGTCTCCCTACTACTCTTCCTCTTATTCTCTCTGTTCAGGCACATTCCCTCTTGTCTAAACCACCAGGTACGCCTCCTTCTCAGGAACTTTATTTGTAATTTCTATTCCTTTTTCCTGAAATGGTCTTCCCCAAATATCTCCATGGATGTATCCTTCATTAACCCAGGTCTCTCCTCAAATATTTCTATTATGTTGGGCCTTCCAGGGTAACTTCATCAAAAATTT